ACCAAGCCCATGGACGATTGCAACCTGGACAAACCGCCCGGCAAGTAGCCAATGCATTTCAAGGCTACGTAAGGACCATATACAGGCTCCAGCAGCGGTACCAGGGTCACCGCCCAATGTCAGGATCGTCAGATTGTGCGACAGCATCTTCAAGATCGCTTTGTTACTGCTGCGGAAACTGCTCGACAGACCATGAGGACACACCAGCCGCACATTAATGCGGACACCGTGCGTTGACGATTGACGAGCAGACACCTCCACTGTCACAGGCCACACCGAGGACCCATTCTGACACCACGTCATCGCCGGGACCGTCTTCAGCGGGCAACACAGCACCAGCATTGGTGACACCAGCAGTAGTGGAGAAGGGTCCTCTTCTCAGACGAGAACCGTTACTGTATCTCAACAGCAGAGAGAGAGAGAGAGAGAGAGAGAGAGAGAGAGAGAGAGGACTCGTGGTGTGGTTCGGGCATCATGGTGTGGGGTGGAATTGGTCTTGCACAGAAGGTCGACCCTGTGGTCTTCAAGAACATCGGTCCAGGGAGAGACAATGGTGTCACAGCAGCTCGGACCATTGATCAAGTCTCGAGACCATACGCCATACCTCATTTGGCACGTCACCGCAACCACGAGTTTCAGCATGATAACGCCCGTGCCCACACTGCGAGAGCAACAAGAGACTTCCTCCAGCAGAATGGCATCAGAACCATGCAGTGGCCTGCCCTCAGTCCCGATTAAAATCCCATTGAGCACATGTGGGACGAGATTCAAAGACGGCTGAAAGACGTCCGACCAAGGCCGACAACTGCAGCTGAACTGCGTCAGGCGTTCCTCAGAAATGTGGGCTCAAGTGTCTTTGGCCTTCATCAACCGCCTCATCCATTCCCTGTATCGACATTGCACGGCAGTCATCAATGCACATGGCGGAGACACGAGATACTGACCTGTGATGCCATTTTCCCAGAGACTAGATGATCAGTTTTGCCAAGTTTCATCTTTTTAATATGTCTCAAAGTATGTTTACAGTGTTTGGACATAAAACGTTTCTCATATATCTATCCATGGTGACGTTTCTTTTGCGGTTCAGTATATTTGTGCCAGTATGTACCACCAATGGTATATTTAGCCTTACTATTGGGATAAAGGATGCTCCTCACTGCACCATGTTAGCTGCATCACAGCTTCTCCGATGGTAGGAGAAAAGCTCAAGATGAGGCAGGTCGCATAGACAGTTCGATGAAAATCATGGGCAGGAATATTGAGCTGACACGAGGATCAAAACCTTGGTATCTTTGAATCGAACCCACATTCAGGGGATCCTAGAAAGTCACAATAGACAGCCACACAATAGACAGCATTACTGGACCGCAAAAAGTGGATCGCTGGGGTGCCCTTGGATCCGATGGTTTGTTTACAGAAACACTCACACAGCGAAAACCTTCATCGCAACGTATTGGCATCGTTAATCAATAGTGTATTAAGCCCCGTGAAGATCCGTGTTAGAATTGGTATATAAATTGGGCGGCAAAAGAAAGTATAGGTCGAGTTTCATGATCGATAAATAACAAAAAGAGGTTTTGTTGTGAATTATAATATAATCTAGGGAGGGGTAACAAATGATTGATCAACCACAGTTTGAATGAAATTGTGCAGTCACAGGTAATGTAAGCTCAAGGAAAACAATGGTGGGGTAAGAAATTTCATTTTCAAAAGTTGCCTGAAATGTCACCAAAAAATTGTCAGACACACTACAAGTTCATTGTCGACACAGTTGCCTTCAATAGGGTTTATGACCTCCAGCTGCCTCAATGCCTGCTGTGATACGCCACCTCATCGATGACGTCAGTCTTCTGATTACGTGGACTGGAATCCGTTGCCACTCGTCTTTCAGGTCCTGCTGCATCTTGTCTGTTGGCGGGAGGCTGATGGCGTGCTCTAATCTGTCTGTGAAGATCGTCCCACAGATGTTCAATAGGATTCATATCGTGTGAGTGGGCAGGCCAGGTTAAAACGTCAACGTTCTGCTGGTTTTGAAAGTTCCGAGTTAGTCTTGCAGTATGGGGCCTGGCATTGTGCTGAAACAATGTCCCCTGCTGTTGGTTTTGTAAGAACGGAAGCACAACTGGCTGCAACACTTGGTCTCTGTACTGCACAGCGTTCAGGTTTCCCTGTTTAATCACCAAATCAGTCTTCTGATCTCCACAAATACCGCCCCACACCATAACACCTCCCCCGCCGAATGGATGGACCTCTCGAATACACGCCAGAGCCAAACGTTCCCCTCTGCGTCGATAAACTCGTTCTCTGTCGTCATTTCGAAACAAGTTAAACCGACTTTCATCAGTGAACAGCACTTGACGCCAATTTCTCACTTGCCAGCGTCGAACCTGCCTCGCCCATCGGGTGGCCCAGTCGTCAAAGGCGCCGCGATTCGCTGTGCAGGATTGCGTCCCTTGGGCACGCCAGAAACCTATGATTGTGGGTTCGAATTCCGGTTCGCCCCAATCATGTTTCTAGGTTTGTCAGCACCATACCCGTGCTCGTGGGTTTCACCGAAGTGGTAAACGTCTGAGACCTGCATCACTTTGGGCATTCCTCCCACATTAAGCTGACACGCCGCGATATGACTGGAATACTGTTAAAAGCGGCGTTAAACACAACTCACTCACTCACTCACGAGCGCCGTCAAAGGTGGCGCTTTTGGGTGAGGTGTTTTTTGTACCTGTTCCTGGGCAGTCATATTCCCAATACCCACTTTCCCCTAGATATCGCTGTCTTTAGGAAAATTACAAATTGCCAATCTATACTTTCTTTTGCCGCTTAGTTTATATACAGCACCCCATGCTTGTCGTAAAAGGCGACTGTGCTTGTCGCAAGAAGCAACTAACGAGATCGGGTGATATCAATCACTGGATTTTCTGGTCAGGGATTGATTATTTACACACAGCTGGAATATTGCTGAGCGCGTCGTTAAACAACTTATATACAAAATATAAGACCCGTGCCGTAAAAGGTGACTATGCTTGTCGTAAAAGGCGACTAACGGGATCGGGTGGTCAGGCTCGCTGACTTGGTTGATGCATGTCATCGATCCTAATTGCGTGGATCGATGCTCATGATGTCAATTACTGGATTGTCTGGTCCAGACTCGATTATTTACAGACCGCCGTCATATGGCTGGAATATTGCTGAGTGCGGCGTTAAACAACAAACCAACCAACCAACCAACCAACAAAATATAAATTTACATGTATGTTTGTATTTTGGATGCAAGGTCGTTATACTTGCCTATACCTTGCCTTGTATACCTTGGTGACTTCAAGTACCACATACTTGGTAGATATTCTGTTAAAAGCTAGCTTAGTATATTTGCAATATTTAGTATAGTCAATATCTCATTGTCATATAGTCAATAATATAGAGAGAAACAATTGATATATTTACCGGATACTCACAGATGTGACCCATCTCTCTCTCACTCTACCACTAGTTATACCTGTTATAAAGTCAGGTATTAAACAAAGCACCAGATGATGACCACAAATACACAGATGTAGATTAATACCACGAAGAAGGGATAACAAGGGCATAGCGATTGCAATTCACTAAAATATGTTTTGAACTGAACTTTGTAACACCTATTTGTTATATCCTTAAGTGTACGCAGTTGTGCATACACATTTAGATAAATATATATCTATATATATATATATATATATATATATATATATATATATATATATATATATTTATCTAAATGTGTATCTATATCTATATATATGTTGTAAAAATCAATCTGCGCCAGAAGTAAGTTTACAATAGCCAAAACTTGAATTTCATTTTACGACAACGAAGCTGTCACGTGGCATGTATATTTTTAATATTATTGGTCTAACAAAATGGACATACAATTTCTATTTCCATTGGAAACGACGTCACTGACAAAGTGAAAGGCACTACTTTGGATATATGTATAAAGGGATCAGATAAGTATGATGTAGTGAGTATATATTGATATCATTAGAGATTTCAGCCATGTTGGCGGCCAGCTTGGATTTTCTACCACCGAGGGCTCTGCTGAGGTGGATCCATATCCTAAAATGTTCGGAATGGTTCAATGTGTAAGTGTGCCAAGTTTGGTACTTTTAACCCAAAGGGCACAATTTTAGCCTTAATCGCCCCACTATATGTGCAAAGTACAAATGTAGCAGAATGCTTGCCACGTTTAACCTCACAAGTGGGATATCATGGGGCGTCTGTCTGTGATGATCACGTATCATATTTGATGGGTGTGTATTGCACCACGTGACATGCTGTTCTCGTCACCGCCCTCCGCCGTGCACTAACTCTTCAGATGACACACCGATAACTCCTTGGCGAGGGACATATGCTGATTGAAAGAAATATGAGAACACACGACAACAGTGTAGAAAGTAGTGTACTGTCACAATAGCATTTTTTCACACTGGGGGCCGACCATTTGTCCGGTAGACTTTCCCCATATCTTCACAATCATGAGCATTTTAGCGATTGGTCGGCATTATGACGTCACATTACTTCATTGTTGAGAACAATGCTATGATGGCATTCATTGTTCCTGACATCACAGGTTGATAACATTACATCATCTGAGCATCTGGAGAATTTCGTGACGTTTCTGTGGTTGAAATTACACACGTTTTTCTTCAATGTCTTTCTAAAGTCACAATGAGATTTTATGTAGAATAACCTACTCGGGGCTTGTATAATTAATTCACTCGGGACACATTGGCCTAATAAGCAATTCCCAGTATTTAGTTGGGTATTCTCTAGTTTTATAAATAATTGTCTGTACATAATTGACTATACATTGAAGATAAAATGTGTAATAATTGTATAGGTGTAGGTCAAAGGTTTATGCATTTCTCCTAGACAACGCACGTGGAACTGTTATTGCTTGTAAAAATACTTTGACCAATCAGATGCCAGTGCTATATATATATCCCGGATACTCACAGATGTGACCTCTCCCTATTTGACCTTACACGGCTGACTGTATCGCCTCGACTGTGCAATGATGTTTTAGAAATAAATCAAGGAAAGGTGAGTGGCAAGTAACATAAATAGAGTTCGTACGGAATAGTTTGACTCGTATCAATAAAACACCGACTTCGAAATTTAGACAGAAGCAAAATCAGTTCTCTATCGTCGTCAGAAACTGTCGTGGACTGAAGGCCAAGTCGCTTGTTGCCGAGGTGGTGTGTCGCGAGCTACCTGCTTTTTTGTTTTATTCATCTGCCAAATAATGTACAGAATAATACGTGAACAAAATTTTCAAACCAAGCAACGTTGACGACTCGTTCGTCTCTATCATCCTCCCACAAGATCACAGTGAAAGTATATTTTTATGCAGCGAGAAAAAGACGAGTCCGATCACAAGGGAGGTAACTCAATCTTGTTAACTACATTTGTAGGTCGTGTTGGTCGGTACAGGTTCGAGTCGCCCTGAATAAAAAAAATGTTTTTCCTACAGAGTCTGAACATTTTCAATTTTTCACCCATTGCTAACCCTTGATGCTTAGGAGATCAATGTCTTAGAACTTTATGACTGTATATAAATCATGATTGATGCGCTTTTAGGGCAATCTCTGTGTAACTCCGACAGTTTAATTTTTAACGGTCATGTTATTTCCAACATATTGGTAATGGTATATATTGTATTTAGATACACAGGTACAATTCCTGGTGATATCTTTTTTCAACGCACCAGAAACATTAATTTCTACTTTGTCGTAAAATTCCATCAATGAAATGAATATAAACAAATGCTAGTAGAGCATCTCAATAGTTGGCAAACGTAACTATTTATAATTAAACGATTTTAGTTATCTGGAATCAAAGTTGAGGGTGATTATGAGTAAAGAATGTTTCGACCGGAACCAGACGAAAGTATCAACTTATACATTTTCATGTAGTTGCCCTAAAGGATTATTATTACATCCTATGTTTCAGATTCAGGATGTGGTGTGTCATCTGATCGTGTGAGGTTTGTATAATCCATGTATCGTCAGACAAACATGTCGGAATTTGATGTGCACATAAATAACCTGTATGATAACATAATTACTGATTTTAAAAAAATGCCAGTTTCGAATAGATAAAAGCCTGTTTGGCAATATCAGACTTTCTTTCACCATACGTTGATACCGTCTTAAACAATGTGGTCGGTATCGCGACATAACAGTACACACATCGACGGCCCAGTTAATATAATATATAACATGTTACTTGGCATGATCACTTCATGTTGATACAGGTGAGCAGAAACGGAATTTCTCGACTGTAATTTGGATTCCCCGATATTCTGTCGTGGTGAAAGGAGTCCGCTTCGGTGGGCGTGGCTTGATTTTTTTTTCATTCATTGGGAAATGAATGCATAACACGTGACCAGTTCAGCTAATCAGAATTCAAGTATTACCAGGCACACAATGGAAATTCAATTATATTTAGATGTTAACAATAATTATATAAAACAATTCTATTACATATCAAGAAGGTCCTATCACACGGAATCTGTCGTCTTCTCCACATGTTTTTCGTATGACATCGGGAATGTCCGAACTCTTATAAGGGGCCAGGCTGGGTGGGGTGGGGTGGGGTAGGTTGGTGGTGGTGGATGGTAGATGGTGCTGTATATTAACGAGTGGTGAACAAGAAGGCAGCTCTGGGCCGCGAGAAGAACGTCGTTTCATGGTTATTTTGAGCTGTTGATGAATGTGAAGCATGGTCTACGCGAGAGATGTTCCAGTCAGTGTCCCATTACACGAGTTATCAGAAAATTGTGATACTCCGTTTACTCATAACAGTGACGTCACTGTCAGTATTTGGTCTCGCTGTAATGAAGTATTAGGGCCTAATTACAAAATATGTGCCGGAAAGTTTAATCACATGGAAATTTCCGTTGACAAGCACGGCGGCGTCATTATCCCGTGTTTCGTTGTAATGAATACTGTATATAACGCGGGGCTGAGATACGTCTACAGTATTTGTGGCGTATGTATGTCTGTGTTATCTGGCGTCAATATCACGTGTCAGGGCACTCCACTGTTACAATCACAAGAGTCATCGTCACGAAACTGTCGCAATATCTGTGTTGTATATAACACAAGTGGCCACAGCCCCACTGCACTTGTTTCGATACACACACCGTATTCAATATTGTGCACACCGTTGTGATATACACCGTCAACATTAGGCCTTACCAACCTCCAAGTATTGTTTTTCGTCAACACCGGGATATAAAGTGTGTGTTTCTCTAGGACTGAACGATGCCGATATTCCAGACATGCGCAGTGCTTCTAGACGGCAAGAAGGAAGTGTACCGGAAGGGAGAGACGGTGACGGGGTCTTTAGTGCTGGACGTCACAGAGAATGTCATAGTTAAGGGGGTCAGAGTTTACCTGTATGGGGAGACGCTCGTCAAGTGGGACGAGTTCTCTCCAGGCAGCCTTGGAGGAACCAAGGACTTCGTTGCCAAGGAAAAATATGTCGGACTTGTGTTTACAGTATTTGGCAAGAAACGTAAGTTTAAGAAATTTTACGTGGACTAGAATTAACATTGTCAGAAGCCTATTTTTCTTCGCTTCGAGTCTTTCAGCTAACTTTAAAAATTAAAAAAATAATCAATCAATGCGTAAAGGTAAGAGACCTTTTACAATGACTTTAAGTCTGTGTTTGTTATTGCTACCTAGCATCTGTGTCTATATTAGTCTTCGCATCTGTGTCTATGTGTGTCCACGTAACTTCAGAAAGTCAATATTGGAAGGCGAGTAACTGTTTGACTTGGTTCAGAAAGTAGATATATAAGAAGTAAGTTACAAACTAAATATTTTTTTAGAAAATTATTTTGACGTCGACAACATACATTACCCTATGTGTTTCCTTCATTTTCATTGCATTTTTATACTAAAGCCCTATTATTGTATTGGAACACATAGATAGATCAAGATTTTAATGTTAATTCTATTGAGGATTTGTACTCATACGGAATTCACAAATAAATTCCAGTATTTTGTTTTTGTGTATAGTTTGTATTAGTCAGACATGTGATGTTCTGTGTCAATTCAGGTAAGACAGAACTTACACAAGACCTGTACAATGTTGAAAACGGGTGATATTTGAGTCAATATCAGGCTGCTACTCCAGATACATAATCTGTCATATGAAGTAGGTCAACACTGGTTGTACAGGTCTTTGTAGGTTTATAGCGTAGACTTTAAACCAAGCGTCTATAATAGGAGCGTTGAACATTAACATTCCAGGGCCCACTTGCACAAAGCGATCTTAGCGCTAAGATGATCGTAACTCCCATACTTTAACATAGGCTTACAATATTCTTAGCGCTAGGATCGCTTTGTGCAAGTGGACCCAGGTCATTGTGTACACAATACGATCTGCTTTATGTTGACCGTAATCGGCTACGCCCTTGAGCAAGTATTTTTTACCGGAGATCATATTACCATCTATTTCAGTTTTTGCGTGGAAAAAACAAAAATCTGATTGTGACGTCTCCATCCTTGAACCTTTGTCGGTGTTTTTATAAGGTTACAATAATAATCAGTTCAGCTTAAATGCACAGAATCTGTCACCAGTATCCCATGCTTGTCGTAAGAGGCGACGAAAGATGATTGGATGATTAGTAAGCCCCGACGACGTGGTTCGTTTCTAGTGCAATCATCCAGTGGTTCTCCTGGTCCTGACCATCTTCCCCAGACAAGAGAGTTAACTGACTATAAAAGTCCAGTTTCCACCCTTGCCGAACTTGGCTGGTATTATGGAGTTACATTTTGGCTGGACTAACGAGTCTATGCATAGTCCAATCAAAATCGCGCACCGAAATCGAAATCCGGTTCGTAAACTGTCGTGCAGATTTTAGCCGATTGCGGGATTTGCAAAGCATAAGCACCGCCAACTCGTTGACAGCGGATATTTTGCAAATCTTTTCATGTTTTGAATCAAGGTACACACTTGATTTGATGCATTTCGCGATGTAAGACCCGTTTTATCACAATATAGATCTTGATTATCGATCAGATCGTCCTGACTCGGCGCCACCAAGCGATACGAGAGGTGGAATCTGATTGGTCCATAGGCGAGGCGTAGAAGGGACATAACTGGTAATAGCCACTGGTGGCGCTACGATCGAGCCCAGTAATTCCACCCTAGTTCGGCAAGGGTGGAAACTGGACTTTTAAAGTCAGTTAACTCTCTTGCCTCGGGAAGATGGGTCCTGACTCGATTACTACAGGCCGCCGTGATATCGCTGGGATATTGCTGACTGCGGCGTTAAACAACACTCACCTCCTCATGATTTGTGTCTGAGCATTTATACAACATACTACTGATACCTTTGTCTCCCAGAAAACGCCACTGGTCCAAACCACACCCTTACAGCGGGACGACACAATTACAGATACAAGTTCAACCTCCCAAAGGAAGGCCTACCGTCGTCTTACGAGGGTCAGAATGGCGCCATCAGATTCTGGCTTAAGGTTGAGGTGAACAGGCCGTTCCCCAACTTCAACCAGTGCTGGTACCGTGGCATTACCGTCTTGGACGACATCAACGTCAACGACTCTCAGTATAAGGTACGAGAGTATGTCAGTGTCAACAAGGTATAAGTGTGTACCTTTTGAAGCATCCACCTTGTATCTTGCGATGCACGAGGCGCTGTTCGTACCGTTCGAAAAAAATAGTATACCACTGAATATTTTCATACAATCTTCTGTCAAATGAGGGGCCTTACTGTAGCCTTGTGGTTATATAATAAGTCACACGGAAGACCCGAGTTCGCTTCCCAAAGCTGACACTATGTGGGAATACCCTATCGGTTCCCCAGTCACGCTTTTACTGAAATGTTGGTAATATTCACGCACAAAATAACTCGGGTCGAATTATACTAAGGCTGTTGTAATTCTGTAATTTCTGTAGTCCATTTAAGCTTTCCATAGACCACCTAAATGTATGTATATTTGTGACAGGCATCAGTTCGACGTCAGGCAAAGAAACAGATTTCTAAGGCTCTTGGTTTGGGAGATGCTGGTTCTCTCACCTTGACCGCTGCAACTGACAGGGGAGCTTACTGTGCAGGAGAAAAGATCGCACTGAAAGGTATACTTTAGGTCAAACTCCGAGTAACATGTCCTGTCTTATCTATGTTGATGCTTTTGGAGTTGTGTTTCAAGCCTGGAGTATAGAATCAATCCCCTGTTTCAGTTGTGGTGAAGAACGAGTCAACGAAGGACATGGGGAAATTGAAGGCTCAACTGGAGCAGAAAGTTGTCTTCACGGCCAGCAACGAGACGAAGACACGTTACACCGTTATAAGGGTCCTGGAAGGATCTCCTGTCATGAAGGTCGGTCAAGATAATGCCCCTAAAAGTGAAAGTTAGGTCTTAAATTAATACGGAATACTAGTATTTACATATGTGGAATGCTTGTACAGAGCAAAACACGCTTACCCTTTTCGCAGACACCTGGCGTCATCACTGATGTTCGTTTAGTGACCTTTTCATATGTCACATCTCTGTTTTGCCTTTATGCCGTATCAGATCAGTTTCGGCAGATAATCGCGATTGATTGGCGGTGACGTTTCCTGTTTAACAAGTTCTCTTATTATCCAGGGAGAGGAGAGGGTCTGGAACAACCAACTGCTGGAGGTAGACGCCATTCCACCGTCAACCAAGACCAGGTCCTGCCACATCATCGCGGTCAGCTACTGCATCAAGGTAAGTCACCGCCCCTTGATCAATCTGGAAATTTTCATGACAAGTTGTCCGTCTAATCTAAAATTAAAAAAAGGTAAAAAACGTATAAAGGCTAGAAAAAGTACCATACGCTGGGGCATATATTTTATGGAAGATCTCAATCCGGTATTCACCTCATGCTTACGTGGTATGTTTTATTCCAAAACAAAGTGTCACAAACATAGACTTAGAGTTGTTACAAATACAGATGTCTGAGGAAATAATCAAAGACATCAACTTCCACAAAGATCTATGGTGCTGCAATGCTGTGTACTAGTTTGCGGCCTGTGAGGGTTTCGAATACCAGATTTGCCCCAACTATTATTCTTGGTGTGTCAGAACCATACCCGCACTCGATGGTTTCACCACAGTGGTAAACCTCTATGACCTCAGCCACTTTTGTCTTCCCTTCCATGTGAAGCAGATAAGCCCTGATGGAACCAACCCAAACAACGTTAAACGGAAGGAACTTAGTCACTTTGACCCAGTAATACAGTGTAGAAATTGGCTTTATTCCATCAGGTCCTGGTTGAGGTGCCTCTAGGATTTAACCTTGAGACCATCATGCCCATCACTATCGGCACCATCCCGTATGGCCACGCCCCTGCTGCTGGGGCACCGAGAAGGGGAGCTACTGCTAGCGGCGGTGCAGGTAAGTCTGACCCCGGCTAATTCAGTGTGTGTCCAGAGTTGTGGTTGTTTTTGAGCATTGAATATCAGGATTTATTATATACTTCAGTGTGAAAGAATGAGTTTTCCGAAGTTGACAAAAGTGATAATTTCATTACAGAGAACATAACAATTGATACTTCACTGCAGTGAATCAAGATCTATATTGTAATAAAACGGGCCTTACCTCTCGAAGTGCATCAACTCACTTGAGCACGTTGATTAAAAACATGATAAAATTTGCAAAATATCAATCTACGCCCACTTGGCGGAACACATGCTTTTCTAATCCTGCAGTCGTACGCAATCAGCACGTTGAAATCCATTTCGTTTAGTTCGTTATGCGATTTTGATTGGACTATGCATAGACTCGTTAGTCCAGCCTAAATATAACTCCAGAATACCAGCGGGAATACGGCAAGGGTGGAAACTTGACTTTGGACTTTTATGGTCAGTTTAATATAGCGAATGTCCAGATTGTCAGAAGACACAAAGAGAAATCTCAATTTATCCAGTTTCTGGTGGTGTCAATTACAGTGTTTGTTTAGTATTCACATGTAGGATATATTACAGTTAATATTGTTAAACCTCGCATTCTGGTTTGAACCAAAATACGCCTGATGTACAGCAACTCTGACACAGACTAATATGTACCACCAGGCCGTTCCTTACTGTGGATTCATTTCAGAGATTGATGTCTCCAGTGCCATAACCTACACCAAATGCAACGCCGGGTTCCATGTCTGCCGGACGTCTGAGGGGAACTTTGTGAACTACAAATACACCCCCATGTGTGCCTACGTGGTTAACTACACTTTCCCCCCTCCCCCTAGCCCCGCCGGTGGTGCTGTAGGGACACGCCCTGCTGCTGCTACTGCTGCTGCTGCTGCAACACCACGCCCTACTGCTGCTGCAGCTACTACAAAGGCACAACCCAAGCCGGCGTCTCAAGGTGTGAAGGTTCCTCCAGCAACCTTTGTCCAAGCTCCATCTTATGCCCTTGCCCCAACACCGTCCCAAGCCCCGCCCCACGTTACTGCTCCTCCCATGGTGCTACCACCGTCCTATGATGATGTGCTTAGGATGGACAATCCGGCTGCTACTACGGAAATTGCTGTCACAGTAAGTAGGCCTAGGGTCAATGAAAAACAAGAAAACCGTTATCACTATTCCCGCCATCGGGCACATTAGAATTTGAAGTGTTTACCTCAATGCTGATTTTCTAACAGCATGCAAGACAAACAGGAAGCACAAAACCCAAAGCATGGAAAAAGGGAGGGTAACACCGGACAAAAATATTAAAGGCATCAGATAATTAGCTCTTGACAGATATCTCTCAGATAAGCATGACAAATTATATTCACGTAACGTCAGTAGTTTCTGAGAGAAATTATCCCCAATGTGGCCAAAATGCGCCAAACAAGGAAACACAAAATATATTTTTTCAGAAATACCAAACTATCAAAAGTCACCAATTCAGCATGTGTTTGATGCATATGCACAGTTTCATAATAAAATATTAAACGACATCGGAGTTTATGTTCCGGTAGCGAAACGTAAGGGGTGTAAAGACACATAGAACCCATTCCTATATCCTCCTCCCACTTCGTGGCGGGGGATAATAACCTTCAACCGCCGCGGATCTGAAGAGTTGAACGCATTATTGCTATGGTCTGTGCCCTTTTCTAATCGGGACACGTCTTACGCAAACAGGTTGTTTTTATCATTTGTATAAGGAACTTGCTCATGTTGCGATGAATCGATTGTCAACAAGTGTATCTAGGTTTGTAGTCTCTTTGTCCGTTCGCTCCAAGATTTACTTCACGTCATACATTCATGGCCACAGTTCATAGATTTTGTCTTTACTTTGTTTCCAGCCGGAGATGGCAGACAAGCCGTATGGACTGCTTTTCCTTCGGTTCCCGGACACCCGTGTTCAGGAGTTCAGAGACACCATAGTGAGAGAACACCAGAGTCTTGCTGAATGTGAGGGAGAAATCATTGCATTTGCGCCACAGGTGATACAAAGTTTAGTTTCCATACCCCTAGGACGAATAGAAATTCATTTTTCCTTCTTGTAATTATGTGATGCACAGCCGTGTCCCAGCTGTAATTGGACAACGGTGTTGATGGGAACGGGATTCAGTTCATGGTACACTTCCACCAATGATCAACAGCGCGTTGAACCAGACGGATAACACTGATACTGTACAGATCATGTAATCACGTGTTATCAGTCATCTGTGAATGATTGCTTTAACGCAGTTTTAGTAATGTTCCAGCAACATAACGACATTTACATTTACATGTGGGAATGGAACAACCCGGGCATTTCGCATGACGAGCGAACGCCATAATCACCAAGCTACAGTACATCCCCCACCCCCACCCCGCCCCAGTAGTCCTCTGTAATGGACACTATTTAAGGATTGGTTTTGGGAACACTTACTGTGTCAACGAAACCACCCTTTTCCTCACACAGTTAGAAATAGAAATTCTTATAGATATGTTAGGGCGTACTGTGATATTTCAAAAATTATTATTGATGAAAATAATTTTGTGTCCCCCCCAAAAAAATAAAAATAAATATTTTTTTAAATAAATAAAAATAAATAAATGAAAAAATAATGCTTGCTGCTGATGATGGATGTCCTAAAACATGTGTTGTTTGTCTTTCTGACAGTATGTTTTTAATCGACGGATCTCATATTCACTAATTCAGCAATTCCTCCGGTGCACGCTGGAGAGAGATATATACAACTTGGTGTTAATAGTAAAATACGACAGTTAATATTTCAAGCAACCTTTTGTCATTTTGGTTTTTGGAAATTAATGACTACATTTGTTGTTTCTATGATCGATGATAGCAAAATCCTAAAATAGAGTATGCTTATAGGTCCTACAGGAACATAGCCAATGGCCAGCACGTACGTCTGTCGCCGTTTTGAAGTTTCCGTCTGCGGAGGTGGCAACTGATTGGTTCAACAAGACGCCAGGAGTAGCTGATCCAAAATGGCTGGAAACATGTGACGCCATTGTTGGAATTATGAAGGAACAGTTCAGAGAAGGTTTGGACGTATAGGATATATATTCCATAGAAAAATAATATTTTAACTGATCTGTGACTTGAGTGACTATTTACGGCCATAGTCAGCAATATTCCGCTATATCATGGCGGTCTAATAATCGAGTCTGGACCGAGCAAACCAATGACTGAAAGCATGAGCGAGGATCCACAACACGAGGACACGGTGAGGACGAGGACAGCCTGACCAGCCGATGTATTAAGGTCTTCTCTTGTGACAAGAATAGAGTACTGGGGACCAAGTCGACACAAAAATTCCTAGCTCATCTGGAAAAGGTCCCGTTTGAGCCATATTTGTTATTTTGAAAATTGAAAAGGGTATTTGGGATATTGACCTTGCCATGTCTTGGACCTTCTCATTGAACATTTTAAATTCATTTCGAGGCCTTGGTTAATCTTGACTTTTCCAAATTTGAAGCACCAGTGGTACAAAATGATGTCTGATCCAGTACACTATTTTGATTTGCGCTATGTTCCAGTGTAATTTTTAGGCGACTTGCATATACATGTGTTTCTGACGGTGCCACCGGTGGGGCAGGATACGCTCAGCTCGCGAGTACCTGCTGTCATCACTACTTCATAGTGATTCATAAACACGTGCTTGTGATATGGTTGATGTGACGTTGTTGCGTACACAGTTGCGTTGTGGTCAGTTGTCCACAAACATGAAATATGCCAATACCATAATGTGATGCTTTCCTCATTGACAGCCAACAGCATCTTTTCAATGATAACATTGAAATACAAGCTACCAGTTAAAAAAGCCAAGGTCAACAAGTACAGCACACTGTTCAGTCAGACGCTGCGTCCTCTCAGGTAAGATTCCATGCTCACAATTGTTTAACTGATGAATCTTGCCTCATGATGCAATGTCATGTGTTTTCTTCCTCAGCTAAGGGTGATTGGTTTTGTATGACAACTCGCCTGAAGGATATTGCTTCAATCACTGATAAACAGATTCCGGGGTAGACTATGTCTTCAGCAACCCATACTTGCCGTAAAAGGCGACTATGCTTGTCATAAAAGGCGACTAACGGGGTCGGGTGGTCAGGCTCGCTGACTTGGTTGATACATGTCATCGATCCCAATTGCGTGGATCAATGCTCATGATGTCAATCACTGGATTTTCTGGTCCAGACTCGATTATTTACAGACCGCCGTCATATAGCTGGAATATTGCTGAGTGCGGCGTTAAACAACAAACAAACAAACAAACACTGATAAACATAATGTTAGTGTGTAGAACAAGCGCAGATAGAGAATTGGGGAAAAAGGGGAGGGGTGAATGGAGTGGGATCGGTGCATGTGGATACCAGGTTAAACTTCAGTGTCAGTGGAGTAAATTGATCTCGAACAAATGACCAAATGAGTTAGTTGTAGTATTGCTTTAAAAATTCAAATGTTATATTTTAGTGCTGCTTCCCAAAAGACTGTGTGTGGGGTGTGGGGTGTCGGGTGTGGGGTGTGGAGTAGTTTCGGCTTCTCGTATGTAGAATGACCGCTCACCCGTATTGTAGCAGGTTACACAAAAACTGGCGAAATATAGTCATCAGTTATCGTTCCCTTTACACACCCCTGGAATGGGGGTTAGCGCAGGTGTGAAACACATTTGATCTCTTTGTTGTTATTATACTGAAACTATTCTGCAGTCAAGCGGTATGAGCTATTCTGCACTAAATTTTCGAATGGATATGTATCCACGTGACATGATTGCAACATAACATACAATGTTTCACGTACTGTCAAATTTTCAAATCATCAGCTCGTCTCTCTCTCGACATGTCTACTGTAGGGAGAAAGTAGTGCACACAAATCCTTTATTTTTGTCCATATGTCTTTAATTCTTCATATTATCTACCCTCAAGAAAACACTGTTCGACAGTTTAAAGTAGTTCATCATTTTATGCTGTAAATCTGTTGTGCAAATAAACAAATAAACTGAGTAGAACATATCAAACGTTTTATTAATTCATCCATTACATAATTGCTTTGACTATCACCTGCTGTATCTATCACCATATCTTGTAATTATTAAAGCCAGCGATGTGCGAGAAAAAAAGATATGAAGAGATGGCGTAGTTGACGTCATATATTTCGTTTATACGTTTTGCAACATATGCAAAATTATTACGTTAAAATTAAGTGTTGCCTCTTTATTGTACAAAGAAATGTCATTGAAATTATTCCACTTCACGTTTGACGTCGTTAGCAATGGATGACATCATTTCTAGTTGATTACGGCAATATAGTACTTCCTGTCAGACAGAGAAAAGAAGATTGACCAATTAACCTCCTGGATATTCTAATGCAGCAAAAAGTTACAAAAGGCCAAATAATGATATAACATTGCTGAATGCACTGACGCTTGTTTTCACTACGTGTTGAGGAAGGAGGACGTTTCACTGTTTGACGCATCAGTCACCAAAGTGGTGTCCGGTGCTATTCTTTATGTAGACTTGAAGCATATGTTGTAGTGTTGTATCAGGTGAAGATGTGCCTTGCCTTTGCCTTCATGTTTGTCGCGGAGCCATCGGTGGGGCAGGATACGCTCACCAAATCGTTATGTGATGGTGATTCATAAACACATGCGGAGCCGTCGGGTAGCCCAGTGGTTAATGCGTTTGCTCGTCACGACGAAGATGCGGATTCGATTCCCGACATGGGTACAATGTGTGAAGCCCATTTCTGGTGTCCCCCGCCGTGATATTGCTGGAATATTTCCAAAAGCGGCGTAAAACCATACTCACTCATAAGCACATGCTTATGCTTTCATATAGTCGGAATCATACAATGGATAGCTTTTAGCAGAGATTTCTTATGGTTATTGAAAGAGCTTTGTCGCTTTTCTTCACGATATAAGATGACTGTGGCTGGTTGTTACAGACTGTTGAAGACTGGGGTGAATCTGGTGTCGACAAACAAGTTCACCACACTGCGGGGCAGCTGGCTGGAAGACAAGTACTACCTCTCGGTCACACAGTGGGAAACTTTAGATCTTTACTTCGAGTACAGAAGCGAAAGGAAATGTGGTAAGCATGTTTGTGATTAACCTCCGGAGGTTATGCTAATCGTAATTAGTAGTCACTTGAAACGGGACAGTTCGAACGATTTGTCACAATATGACCACCCTGCATTTGAATTTTCATGTCTATTGTGCAAAGGTTATTCACATTAAGGGATCTTTGTTAGAAACAGTATTTTTGTGGTCACTGCTTCAACACGTACTTTTTTCTTATGAAAAGCAATTGTTTGTTTGCTTGTTCCACAGCTCATTTTGTCAGAACATACAGTATATTTGTCCATCAAAATCCTTTTTTGACGTGAGGCAAAATTATTTTCTGAAGGTATTTTCTTGCCTTCCTGGGATATCAAATGATCAGTCGTTTAGCTGTATGTTGATCGGTGTTTTCGGTCTAAAATTATTTAAGTGAACTTATTATCCCCCGCCCAACAAAGTTGGCGGGGGATGTAGAAACGGGCTCCGTCCGTCACCTCGGTTAAAAAAGGTTAGGGTTTGTTTAGATTTAATAATGTCATAAATTCTGCAACAGGGGTGGGGACATAGCCACGTTAGTGGCCAACTCTTGTTAATTTAAAAATATTATATTTGTTTGTTTGTTTGTTGTTTGACGCCGCACTCAGCAATATTCCAGCTATATTACGGTGGTCTGTAAATAATCGAGTCTGGACCAGATAATCCAGTGATTGACATTATGAACATCTATCCACGCAATTGGGATACGATGACATGCATCAACCAAGTCAGCGAGCCTGACCACCCAATCCCGTTAGTCGCCTCTTACGACAAGCATGGCTTGCTGAAGACCTATTCTACCCCGGATCTTCACGGGTCTAAATATGATATGAAGCCTATTTAAAATTATTGCCACACTTGCTTGAAGCAATCTTGGAACAGCAACAAGCCATTTAGCATCGTTCATGAAACAAATTCCGTTTTTGTAATTTTCTTTGAAAAAAACTTGTTTCGAATGAATATGTCCTTTCGCGGTGTTGAGGTCATTAACAATATCATGGTCTAACATAGGTCTAACCAATCGTAATGCAGGGTTAATACATGCCATGGAAGAATACCAGTTACTGTTGCACCTTGCCGTGTATAATCCTAAGACTCATTACTTGTTTCATCCCAGGAAAGAAATGTTTGAGGACTAGATGTGGAATGTTGGTTGGTTGGTTTGTTGTTTAACGCTGCACTCAGCAATATTCAAGCTATATGACGGCGGTCTGTAAATAATCGAGTCTGGACCAGACAATCCAGTGATTAATATCATGAGCATCGATCCACGCAATTGGGATCGATGACATGCATCAACCAAGTCAGCGAGCCTGACCACCCGATCCCGTTAGTCGCCTTTAACGACAAGCATAGTCACCTTTTACGGCAAGCATGGGTTGCCGAAGACCTATTCTACCCCGGAATCTTCACGGGTCAGATGTGGAATGTTACGATTCTGGGGAAATCCAGGGGAAATCCAGGGGAAATCCAGGAGATAACAGTAAAGGGACTGCTTCTGTTTTTGCAGGTGCTGGCAAGGACCTGCAGTTATCAGTAGTGCTCCAGATTGTAAACATCTCATGTGTGTACACTCACATCAGTATGACCATTGCATTTTGTTCACAGGTCCCAATAAAGAATGTTCTGAGTTGCTCAAGGAAGTATTTGACATACAACCAAGTGTTATCTTCCAATCCGAGGATTTGTCTCTCTTTCAAATGACATCCATACAAACGGCCGAGAGATCTGACAGCCCGGCCGTCGAGATGCAGTCAGAGACTACACAAACTCAAAGCGAGGCTCCAGGGGATGGGACCGAGGGCTCAGGGGAAGGACAGACAGACCTCACAAGATCTGACAGTCCAGCCATCGAAGTGCAATCGGAGGATATCGATAGTGCCGCTACCCAAAACCAAAGCGAGGCTTCAGCTGATGGGAATGAGGCTGCAGAGGAACGTCAGGAAGAAACTGCTGACATAAAAACCACAATAGCTGACTTACAATAGTCTTGGAAGACTTGCTGCAAGACCTCAAAGTGTATAAATTTATTTTTTACAGGAAAACTGTTGCTTCTTGACGTATTTCATCGCATGTGTGGTCATAGTTGATTGGATGTTGTTCACCTGTGTTGCTCGACACCTGCACACTTCACCTTTAGGTAGGTCATTACTAAACTGAACCTAAACTGAAGTCATGACATGTAAGATTGACCAACCTTTCATCACCTGTCACGGTTTGTTGTTTGTTTGTTTGTTAACGCCGCACTCAGCAATATTCCAGCTGAATGACGGCGGTCAGTTAATAATCGTGTCTAGACCAGACAATCCAGTGATTGACAACATGAGCATCGATCCACACAATTGGGATCGATGACATGCATAAACCAAGTCAGCGAGCTTGACCACCCGATCCCGTTAGTCGCCTCTTACGACAAGCATAGTCGCCTTTTACTGCAAGCATGGTTTTCTGAAGACCTATTCTACCTCCTTCTTCACGGATTACTTCATGTATTTATTGGGTTGTGCAATACTGTGTGGAACAGACTGTAATTAGTGTGACTGTTACCTGTAATTAGTGTGACTGTGACCTGTAATTAGTGTGACTGTTACCTGTAATTAGTGTGACTGTTACCTGTAATTAGTGTGACTGTGACCTGTAATTAGTGTGACTGTGACCTGTAATTAGTGTTACTGTAACCTATAATTAGTGTGACTGTTACCTGTAATAAGTGTGACTGTTACCTGTAATTAGTGTGACTGTGGCCTGTAATTAGTGTGACTGTGACCTGTAATTAGTGTGACTGTTACCTGTAATTAGTGTGACTGTGACCTGTAATTAGTGTGACTGCGACCTGTAACTAGTGTGACTGTTACCTGTAATTAGTGTGACTGTTACCTGTAATAAGTGTGATTGTTACCTGTAATTAGTGTGACTGCGATCTGTAATTAGTGTGACTGTAACCTGTAATTAGTGTGACTGTTACCTGTAATAAGTGTGATTGTTACCTGTAATTAGTGTGACTGTTACCTGTAATTAGTGTGACTGTGACCTGTAATTAGTGTGACTGTTACCTGTAATTAGTGTGACTGTGACCTGTAATTAGTGTGACTGTGACCTGTAATTAGTGTGACCGTTACCTGTAATTGGTGTGACTGTGGCCTGTAATTAGTGTGACTGCGACCTGTAACTAGTGTGACTGTTACCTGTAATTAGTGTGACTGTTACCTGTAATTAGTGTGACTGTGACCTGTAATTAGTGTGACTGTGACCTGTAATTAGTGTTACTGTAACCTATAATTAGTGTGACTGTTACCTGTAATAAGTGTGACTGTTACCTGTAATTAGTGTGACTGTGGCCTGTAATTAGTGTGACTGTGACCTGTAATTAGTGTGACTGTTACCTGTAATTAGTGTGACTGTGACCTGTAATTAGTGTGACTGCGACCTGTAATTAGTGTTACTGTAACCTATAATTAGTGTGACTGTTACCTGTAATTAGTGTGACTGTTACCTGTAATTAGTGTGACTGTTACCTGTAATTAGTGTGACTGTGACCTGTAATTAGTGTGACTGTTACCTGTAATTAGTGTGACTGTTACCTGTAATTAGTGTGACTGTTACCTGTAATTAGTGTGACTGTGACCTGTAATTAGTGTGACTGTGACCTGTAATTAGTGTTACTGTAACCTATAATTAGTGTGACTGTTACCTGTAATAAGTGTGACTGTTACCTGTAATTAGTGTGACTGTGGCCTGTAATTAGTGTGACTGTGACCTGTAATTAGTGTGACTGTTACCTGTAATTAGTGTGACTGTGACCTGTAATTAGTGTGACTGCGACCTGTAACTAGTGTGACTGTTACCTGTAATTAGTGTGACTGTTACCTGTAATAAGTGTGATTGTTACCTGTAATTAGTGTGACTGCGATCTGTAATTAGTGTGACTGTAACCTGTAATTAGTGTGACTGTTACCTGTAATAAGTGTGATTGTTACCTGTAATTAGTGTGACTGTTACCTGTAATTAGTGTGACTGTGACCTGTAATTAGTGTGACTGTTACCTGTAATTAGTGTGACTGTGACCTGTAATTAGTGTGACTGTGACCTGTAATTAGTGTGACCGTTACCTGTAATTGGTGTGACTGTGGCCTGTAATTAGTGTGACTGCGACCTGTAACTAGTGTGACTGTTACCTGTAATTAGTGTGACTGTTACCTGTAATAAGTGTGATTGTTACCTGTAATTAGTGTGACTGTTACCTGTAATTAGTGTGACTGTGACCTGTAATTAGTGTGACTGTTACCTGTAACTAGTGTGACTGTTACCTGTAATTAGTGTGACTGTGACCTGTAATTAGTGTGACTGTTACCTGTAATTAGTGTGATTGTTACCTGTTATTAATGTGACTGTGACCTGTAATTAGTGTGACTGTGACCTGTAATTAGTGTGACTATGACCTGTAATTAGTGTGATTGTTACCTGTAATTAGTGTTATTGTTACCTGTAATTAATGTGACTGTGACCTGTTATTAGTGTGATTGTTACCTGTAATTAGTGTGACTGTTACCTGTAATTAATGTGACTGTGACCTGTAATTAGTGTGATTGTTACCTGTAATTAGTGTGACTGTGACCTGTAATTAGTGTGACTGTGGCATGTAATTAGTGTGACTGTGACCTGTAATTAATGTGACTGTTACCTGTAATAAGTGTGACTGCTACCTGTAATTAGTGTGACTGCGACCTGTAATTAGTGTGACTGCGACCTGTAATTAGTGTGACTGTGACCTGTAATTAGTGTGATTGTTACCTGTCATTAGTGTGACTGTTACCTGTAGTTAGTGTTACTGTGACCTGTAATTAGTGTGATTGTTACCTGTCATTAGTGTGACTGTTACCTGTAACTAGTGTGACTGTGACCTGTAATTAGTGTGACTGTTACCTGTAACTAGTGTGACTGTGACCTGTAATTAGTGTGACTGTTACCTGTAATTAGTGTGATTGTTACCTGTAATTAGTGTGACTGTAACCTGTAATTAGTGTGACTTTGACCTGTAATTAGTGTGACTGTTACCTGTAACTAGTGTGACTGTTACCTGTAACTAGTGTGACTGTTACCTGTAATTAGTGTGACTGTTACCTGTAATTAGTGTGACTGTTACCTGTAATTAGTGTGACTGCGATCTGTAATTAGTGTGACTGTTACCTGTAATTAGTATGACTGTTACCTGTTACTAGTGTGACTTTGACCTGTAATTAGTGTGACTGTGGCCTGTAATTGGTGTGACTATGATCTTAGATTAGTTTTACAGTGATCATAGATCAATCTGACTGTCATCAGTGATTAGTGTCATTGTCGTCAGATATTGGTTTGATGGTGATAATAGATTAGTGTCATTGTCATCAGATATTAGTATAACAGTGATCAGAGAATAGAGTTAGTGTCATCAGTGATTATTGTGACTGTATTCCGAGATTAGTGTTACTGATGTAGGAGATTAGTGCGACTGTGATCAGAGATTAGTGTTATTGTCATTAGTGATTATAGTGCAACTGTGATTAGTGATTAGTGTTACTGACATAGGAGAATAGTGTGACTATGATCAGATCAGAGATTAGATCATCAACGAATTTTGTAGATGACAACATGCACGAAGTAAGAACATGACCGACAGGCCTACCCGATATTTCAGAAACGAATACACCTCACAGGTTGAATGGTTCCAGAGTTCCATGTATTGTGATGTGACTTAATATGATCGTCGCTGGTAATGATAAAGGAACCGATTGATCATTATGTGTTTATTCCCATTGTAATAAAGTATATAGAGCTATTAGCTGATTTGTCATTGATAGACATGACAGCACATATTGGTATAACAGCCCAGTCCTACATGGGATGATGTATTCTAGTTACACAACCATGACATCCAATGCGTTGTCCGGGAGGTGGTCATACACGTTTGTCCTATACACTGTGTATCGGGTGATAAAAGTGTATCAATATTTTTATGAGTGGTACATGAAACTGATGAAAGGTTGTAAACTGATCAGCTTTAGTTGTAATGTTTCATTGTAAACGAAGCTAAATCGAAAAGTTCCTGGCCTCGTGGATATTGCTTTGTGTAATGTCAGGTTTCGGCGCGTGTATGGATTTGTTTTGTTTGTTTGTTGTTTAACGCCGCACTCAGCAATATACCGACGGTCTGTAAATAATCGAGTCTGGACCAGATAATTCATTGATTTACATCATGAACATCGATCCGCGCGATTGGGATACGATGACATGCTTTAACTTAGTCAGCGAGCCTGACCACCCGATCCCGTTAGTCGCCTCTAAAGACAAGCATAGTGAATAACATCCTATTGGAAGACACTAAGTTACAGATTGGTAACTGCATGCAACTCTAAGAAGTCAACTGGATAATTTAACAAGTGAGAAAAACTGCAAAAAATATCGAAAACTGAGAAACGAGCTGTGATTGATGAAGTACCTACATAAAGTGGGCACGTCACCACAGGAAATACACGAAGACGCGAAAATAAAGACTGAAAAGCACTTTACATAAGCATAAAACATTTTTGCTGAAAGCAGAATTCATTGTATGATTCCAACAATATCACAAGCATGTGTTTAATCACTATCAAATAGTGATGATACCGGTGTTCGCGAAAAGATGTGCGTATCCTGCCCCACAGGTTACAACCATCACAAACACATGCAATGGCAAGTCATTCTTTCACCTGAAAAACACTGGAACATATGTTACAATTCAGTTATTGCATCAAGTGGGAATGAAAGACGGTGACGAAAACGACATTTATAGCTTTCTGCACTTGGACTGTTTAATTTATTTCTTTTACTTTCCCATATTGCTGACAGACAGACAGGCAGGTACAAGCTGTACAAAAGAAACAAAGTACCAATAAATACATGCTCTTTCAAATCACGATTCATCAATAAACATACAGATGTTTACACGTTTATGTTATCTATACACTGCAAAAAGAAATTCCGGATTTTAACATCTTTGAAATTACGACATCAAACTTTCAATGAAAGCACTTATTAAACAACCTCATTTGTTCCTTACATGTACAAAACATATTCAGAAATATATTTTAGGCGTTTATATCACACAATCCAGTGATTAATATCATGAGCATCGATCCACGCAATTGGGATCGATGACATGCATCAACCAAGTCCGCGAGCCTCGCCACCCGATCCCGTTAGTCGCCTCTTACGTCAAGCAAAGTCCCCTTTTTACGGCACGCATGGGTTGCTGAAGACCTATTCTACCCCGGATCCTCACGGGCCACCTGCCACGGTGGCACAGTGGGAAAACATAGTGTTAAAAACTTATCACTATATGTGAGGTTGCATGTTCGATTCCCGTCATCCATAATAAAAAAATGTTTTAAGCCTAGTCTTCAATTTTAGAACATTGAACGTCCAAACTTCGTCTGCTACTCAACTCACCAGGTCTTACTAGGAAAAAGCAGAATCTCCCATGAGGTTATCACGAAAAAACAAGTACCGTCCAAACAAAGGCCAATATCCGTGGTAAGTTTATACTCGCTGCTATCCGAGCAAAGTTGAAACAGAAGAAATCCAACATCAACATACACTCTTCAAAAAAAGGAAACGCGCAGGTAGTTTGTAGTTCATTGGCTGAAGCTGCCCTGTGCCCCTTACCCTCCTGACCTGGCACCTCTGACTATTGTCTCTACCCTAAACTCAAATTTCCCAGTGACAACGAAGTGATTGTCCTCATCGAGAACGTTTTTTGGTATCAAGAAAAAGCAGAACCATCAGTTGATCATCCTGTGATTATTCCTGCTCACAATAAACCTATATAGATCCATTAGCTGATCATCCAGTGATTATTCCTGCTCACAATAAACCTATATAGATCCATTAGCTGATCATCCAGTGATTATTCCTGCTCACAATAAACCTATATAGATCCATTAGCTGATCATCCAGTGATTATTCATGTCTTCAATAAACCTGTACAGCCCCACTTGCTGAACATTTCCCTTTTTCATCATATTTAACATTTATACACTGTACGTTCCTAACAGATTATCGGGTTATTAGACAAACGTCTCACGCCAGTATAACTAATTCAGAGTATATAACCGCTGTCTTCCTATCGAAACTGGAACATGGAGAAATATCGATAGATGAAATGGTATTGTCATAGTTCTATTACCTGCTTGAACGCCCTTTTACCAGACAGTTATTGGAAACAATGTACACAAATTATTACTTGGTTGACACAACCACCACAAATCTGACAAACATTTCACTGTAAATTAGGTAACTGTTGGGAGTAAATCTGTAACTATCATCAAACTGTCCACACTGGACTACACAATGACGCTAACTGGAGGATAGGAGGGTATTCCGGTCAAAACATGCCTCCTGACACATGTTGAATCTTGTTAATGTGTGAGAACGACGGTTTATAATGTAGCAGGAGATAAGTACCCATTATTCAAAGATACCCCAACACACTTATCAGATTCTTGATATACAATGGCTACGAATCACCTCCGAGGTCAGAGACTAAATTTGACTCGTCGACCCCCCTAGCACATGGCCCTCATGTGATGTAAACATCGTAGCTTGCAGTCGACAGCCACTAGCCGCAGGAAACTTGTAATCTTGTCGTTGTATGTATTACCAACAGCGATAGATCACTAATGTTGTTTAAGTAAATTCAATGACGGTTTGCAGTCAAAGCTAGCTATCATCACTTAGTTTTGGTACCCTGATGCTTTTGTTTGCAGTCACTGTGTTGAAATTTTCAAAACGTTGTTGAATACAAGTATCTTTTGAATACATTTATTGTGCATCCGCGAGTGTGTTAAGATGGAAGCCTGTTCACTGTATGGGGACAAGTTTCCCCATTTCCTACATTCACAGCCGAGTCTTCTTTGCGGTTACGAAAAGGAGTGAGGTGTGCCGATTGCTGTACGGATATCGTGACGTCATAATGGTTGATGTGAAATATTGGATATTGAAAGAGACAATCACACAAAGTTCAGTCATCAGGTAATTTCCGTTGACAAATACGGCGTCATTATCCCAGGTGTGTAACTGATAGTATAAATGAACGCTCATCTAATATTCGGGGCATATATCAAAGCGTTATCACTACCATGTATCTCGTTATTATCTTCAACGATGGGGTCAGCAGGGCTGTACACTCACAACAGCGTTGCAGTCACCTGATTAACAGTCATATAAAATGTGTTGGTATATAACAGCAGTGACCATAACAGCCACTGAACGTCCGATGCACACAGAGTGTACAACACATTGGGCGTTATCAACCTGCAGCTCCGACTCTATATTCACAAGGATATATAAAGTGTGACAGGTCTGTTTCTCTAGGACTGAGCGATGCCGATATTCCAGACATGCGCAGTGCTCCTAGACGGCAAGAAGGAAGTGTACCGGAAGGGAGAGACGGTGACGGGGTCTTTAGTGCTGGACGTCACAGAGAATGTCATAGTGAAGGGGGTCAGAGTTTACCTGTATGGGGAGACGCTCGTCAAGTGGGACGAGTTCTCTCCAGGCAGCCTTGGAGGAACCAAGGATTTTATCGCCAAGGAAAAATATTTCGGACTTGTGTTTACAGTATTTGGGAAGAAACGTAAGTTTAAGAAATTTCGAGTGGAATAAAATATAAATTTTGAGAAGCCTATTTTTCTTTCCATCGAATCTCTTAACTAACTTAGAAAATAAAACAATTTGAACAAATTTAATCAAAACAGGAAGAGAAGTGACCTTTTACCTTAACTTTGATTCTGTGTTCATTGCTACTACTGTCTTAACATACATGCTAATGTTTCGTCTTTGCATATGTGTTTTCGTGTGTTGACGTCCTTCCTTGTCCTTGTGAAGGTCTTTCATAAAAGGGGAATAAAATTAAAGACTGTTCATCGAGTCTGTCAACAACTTTCATTCATGAAACACTCTTAAATAACGGCAATCAATTCGTGAAGGGAAGTGACCTTTTACCTTGACTTTACGTCTGTGTTTGTTAATACAATTGTCTAAGCATATGTGTTTATGTTTGTCTTTGGATATGTGGTTATGTAAGAAGAATTCCCTTAGGGGCAATACAATCTTACCTGATCTTATCTTAAATTACGTCAGGGTTTGGTAATATATGTTGGTTTTGGGAATTCCAACCTGGCCGTTCACAAAAACAGAATACAATCAACATTTTCTTTCTTTTACCTTAATTTCAGAAGGTCAAGATTGGAAGGAAAGTGACTATGTTCAGAAAGTAGATATTAGAAGTGAATTTGAAAAACCCCATATGATTTACAATGTTATGTTCACGTCATGTTTCCAAATATAACTAATTTAGTAAAAGCATTATTGATTTTTATTGGACATATCCGGATTTTGATTTTAATTCTTTTAAGCATTTGTAATCGTATAGAATTTGAATTTAGTTATTGGTTTTGGTTACGTGTTATTATGTAAGGGTTGTCTTTTAATAATCAGAATAAAACGGTACTAAAAGGCAATAAAAAAGGCCTTTGTACGATTCTGACTATATCTCAGTGAGTGAGTATGGTTTTACGCTGCTTTTAGCAATATTCCAGCAATATCACGGCGGTAACTATATCTCAAGCACAGGATGTTCTGTGTCCAATCTGTGATACGCCATTCGCATGTACTCCCAGCCTTGATACAAGTGATAACAAGTGATATTTGAATCAATATTGAGATAGCTTCCCTTGAAACATAATCTCTGGTATAAAGTAGGTCAACACGGATTGTACGTGAAGGTGTATGTAAATTTATGACTTTGAACCAAGAGTCTGTAACAGGATAGTTTAACATGAACATTCCGGGTGCGTCAATACACAATACGATTTGCTTAATGTTGAACTGTAATCGCCTACGCCCTTGAACAACCCACAAATAAGAGAACGGATGAGATGATAGTGAAGGTTTAATGACGATAAATGTCTGTAAAATTACTGCATCTCTGGCGTTCACTCTCCTCCCGAGAACATCACACAGACGTGCTATTGGGGACATGTCAGGAAACGAAGGGTGCCAGTCCAATGTCCGTATGCCTTCTCGTCGCAGGATATCGGTGACGACCTGGGCACGATGTGGAATAGATACAGATCATGGTCAAAATGTTTTGGCCTGGCATACCGCGCGGCGCTAACGCAGTTTCCTGCCTTCTGAGAATTGGAAACAAAACATTGATTCGTCTGTAAATATGGTATTTAAAGGTGTTAGTGTTACACCCTTAGCAGGACGCCTTGCTTTCTGGTGGGAAGCACGGTGCCGGTTTTTAACGGTAGATGTTTAAATTCCCCTTCGTGTTATTGTGCCGAATTCTCTATTGATAACAGGTGCAGATTTGAATATATTATGAAGTTGAATTGATGTAATGAGACGGTATTTTCTAGGTGTCGTTTTGAGGCCTGCCATGCCCATGCCTCATTACAACCGTCTAACCATACTTGTCCAACAGTTGGGGAATTACACTTTTTGATTTGCCAAACATTCAGGCAACTTGGGATTTTGACGTCCACCCCCGACCCCGCTACAGGCGCTCGCTTTTTGACTTCTGTGTGCACGTGATTCACATGCTGTTCATGTTTGAAGTGAAATTTCATTCTGATATGATGATGTTGAGATGCAACGCCACGGTATTGTAAATATGCATCTCAATGATAGCTACATTCAGACTATAAGAACCTTTTTTTGTAGGTAGTATGGGCTATCGTCTATGTACGTTTTTGCTTGGGATAATATCAAAGGATGGTATTTATTGTTCAAAATATTCTTCACGGAAGCCTAGAAATTTTGCATACACAGACAAACACTCACAGACACAGACACATAAGCACGCACACAAACACGCAAACAAGCGAGCACACAAGCAGACACACACAGACACACAAAGAAATCAGAATATCACATCTTCACCCTTGAACCTTTCTCGGTAGTTTGATAAGGTTACAATAATAATCAGATCTGATAAAATGCACAGCTGGTTTTTGATTTTTATCATAAACTGATCGTGTTGCACATTTTCATTTTGGCATACTAGAGGTCAAGGTATGCTGCTGGTGCAGAATCGCTCACCATTGTCCAATACTTGTCATGAGAGCCAATCTAAGTAGAATGGATGATTATTGAGCCCCGACACCCTTGCTCGTTTCTCACACAATCAACCATTGGTTCTCCTTGTCCTGACTCGATTACTACAGGCCGCTGTGATTTCGCTGTGATATTGCTGACTGCGGCATTAAACAACTCTCACTTCTCATTGTTTGTATCTGTGCATATTAACAACTAAATAATGTCACCTCTGTCTCCCAGAAAACGCCGATGGACCAAACCACACCCTTACAGCGGGACGACACAATTACAGGTACAAGTTCAACCTCCCAAAGGAAGGCCTACCATCATCCTTCGAGGGTGAGCATGGCGCCATCAGATTCTGGCTTAAGGTTGAGGTGGACAGGCCGTTTCCCAACTTCAACCAGTGCTGGTACCGTGGCATCACCATGCTGGACGACATCAACGTCAACGACTCTCAGTATAAGGTACGAGAGTATAGCAATGGCCAACAGGGTATAACTTACCTTTTTAAAGTTAAAGATGCACGAGGCACTGTTCGTACCGTTCGTAACAAATAGCACACTATTGACGACCTTCATACAATGCTCTTCTGTATAATAAGTATTCTACTACTACTACGACTATGACTACCACTACTACTTCTACTACGTTTACGACTACAATTACCACTTCTACTACTTCTACTGCTACTGCTACTGCTATTACTACTGATCTACTTAGTGTCTAAATTACATGAAGGTGCTCGACACTGCTGAAAAAAAAATCAACATATACACAAAAGGGATGATGAAAATAGAATCGAGAAAGCCATATTCATATGTAATCTCAGGGTCGATTGTACAGTTCCAAATAAATCATGAGCATGTGTCTATAAATAATTATTAAAATGTGATGATACCAGGTGTTCATAAAAACGAAGGCGTATTGCACCCGTCACATTTGTCTCTGATGATTCAGTTTGAGAAATGTCTTCCGCATGTACATGTCTACCATAACACCTTTAGAAAAGTGTACTGTATAGAGTTGCGACCCTTCGAATGCTGTTTCACGCCGAATATGTTTACTGGTTTGTCAGCTCCATACCTGTGCTCGTGAGTTTCATCAAAGTGGTAAACGTCTGAGACGTCTGCTTTCCTCCCACATTAAAATGAAATGCTGTGATATAACTTGAATACTGTTCAAAACGGTGTTTAACCCAACTCACTCACTCACTCATTTTGACACATTGTCCTCAACCTCCGAAGATAGAGATGTAACTATATCCGTGTCACCACGATTAGTAACACATGTTCCACGGATCAAGGAATATAGTTTTCCCTTTAGTTGAAAATGAAATGTTTTGACAGAATTGATCCTTTTGGTTTTTGAGACTCAACAAAGAACTAATTTCACTTTTCTCAAATATTGTTTGTGATTAAATCAAAGATATCATTTGGTCACCATCCTTTGTGACCATGGCTGCATCTACGTCGGGTGCCGGAAACAGACTTAATACATTTACGTCAGCTTCTTGGTTAGAAGGACCACCAACGTCTTTTATTTTCCATATGGCATTACTGTATCCAAGGATTTTCTCTGTACATCCTATAAGGATGCATTTAATGCTATTAGATGGATGGTATATTTCCATGCAAAGGATAGAGTGATTTTCAGAATTGAAATGTTGGTAGACAATATTGGAAACATTTCTGTTGATGCCCGATCACTGCTGGCTGACTCATGTCGATAATTGTTATCTCTCGAACAAAGTGTACATTCAGTGCCAAAGGTGACTTTATAGTTTTGCCGTTACAGGTCTTCAAAAGGTTTCATGCAGTGAGTTTTAGCTGTAAAGCTAGATTTAAATTCAGGATCACTTATCAAAATAGGACAAGTTTTGCGATTTGTTTGTGCCACATGGAGATGTGTTCGAAAGAAATATGTCATCCAACTTCACTGATTCTATTGTAAATGAATCTCAGTTTTTGAAATAGAAATTGCCTTCATGTTGAATAGGCAATTCGCGATTTCCTGAAGGACCACCATTCTATATCATAATAAATATAGTTATGTGTGAGAAGTTGTAGCTTGAAGTCAATTCTGTACTGGGAGCCAATGAAGGGAGTTTACAAAAGGAGGGATATGTTCAGTCCAATGAGTTCTGGAGATCCTTGTTCCGGTTTATTACAGTCTGACAGTTGCAGTTCCTCTCGCCTCTTGCCTTGATTAACAAGTCATGTGAACTTTGTTTGCTGCCACTCTCCGTTGATGGGCTACTGACTTTGTAGAAGTGTCAAGTTATGTGCATAAATTAAACAATCACCTGATTCATGTCACGTCATAGTATGTATTCCTAGACCTGTAACGTTTATCAATCTCGCCATTTTTGTCTGCTTTGATTTATGTTATTATTTTTGATTAAGCTGTTGATGCTAACACATATGTTTGTTGTCGAATTTGATTATAAGTATTGACTGTGTATTTTGTTTTGGTTCATTTAGGAGGAATCGAAAAAGCGATGTGTAAACTTGTAGCGGATTCACACAGTGTGTACGTAGGTGTTTAATATCTCAATTAACCCTAAAAAATATGCAGTCAATACTTCATTGCATTTTATAGGTGATGACAAAAACCCACATTTGCTCCCCAAAGCCGATACTGTGAAACCCATTCTCGGGTCCAATAACACTAAGTGTGTTGTAAATTTGTTGATCCTTTAGTGGGAGCGCATTTTGACTTTCCACAGGGAACTAATAAGTATGTTTATATATGGCAGGCACCGGTACGACGTCAGGCAAAGAAGCAGATTTCTAAGGCTCTTGGTTTGGGAGATGCTGGTTCTCTGACCTTGACCGCTGCAACTGACAGGGGTGCTTACTGTGCAGGAGAAAAAGTCGCACTGAAAGGTATACTTTAGATCAAACTCTTGGTAACATGTCCAGTATGATCTAACTATGCTGATATTTTTGTGTTGTGTTTCAAGCCTTGAGTATAGAATCAATCCCCTGTTTCAGTTGTGGTGAAGAACGAGTCAACGAAGGACATGGGGAAACTGAAGGCTCAACTGGAGCAGAAAGTTGTCTTCACGGCCAACAACGAGACGAAGACACGTTACAGCGTTATTAGGATCCTGGAAGGATCTCCTGTCGTTAAGGTTGGTCAACATAATGCCACATATCTCCTTCTTTCAGACTTAGCTGTCACTTCACACATGGAAATTTAGAAATAACGTCCATTTATATTCCATTGTTTACAGGCCTGCGTCATGCCGAAAGGCTATTACTGGGTGCGGCGTTACACTACAAACACTTTTGTTTTTAATGACAGTTGTGTGAGTGGCGGGTGTTACCAGTGGAATAAGACATAGGAACAACTGGTGTTCCAGTAATCCATTCTTTCAACTTTCTGAGTATTTTGCCGTTTATGCCCTTTGGAATCAGTTTCAGCAGATAATCGATATTCTCTGTTTTTGACGTGATGATTTCCAAGCATAGGTATATATCTTTTCTTCCAGTACATTTGAGAGGTAATTGGTCCTTAACAAAATCAAAGAGTTAACACGTTCTCCTACTGTCCAGGGAGACGAACGGGCTTGGAACAACCAACTACTGGAGATAGACGCCATTCCTCCGTCGACCAAGACCAGGTCCTGTCACATCATTGCCGTCAGCTACTGCATCAAGGTAAATCAGAAAAACTTTCATCAATCTGTCTTATTTCATCACAAATTGTCTGTGCCATTCTTAAATCTTTAAAAATGTAAACATTTTGTTGGGTAGAAAAGAGACCATAAATTTGGTTAGATGATTTATGACCGATCTCTGTTCTCGCCTAAAGGTCTCGGTGGTATATTTTATTATGAAATACATTGTCTCACACACAGAAACATAGGTTAAGTGTAATTACAAATGTCTAAGGACATTACCAAATGCATCAACTTTAACTCCACAAAGATTGATTTTGCTGCATTAGAGCATGGATCGGCCTGTGTGGGATTCGAATCCCAGAATTGCTGCAGTGAATACTCCTAGCTTACCAGAAACATGCAGGTACTGTATGTTTTCACCAAAGAGGTTAATTTCTTTGACTTCTGTCACTTTTGTCTTTCCGCCCATATGACGCCGATCAGCTGTGAAAGAACGTTCCAAACAAGTTTACTCATTCACTTTGTCCAAATAACAGGTAAAGAAAATGTTGTTATTCCATCAGGTACTGGTTGAGGTGCCTCTAGGATTTAACCTTGAGACCATCATGCCCATCACTATCGGCACCATCCCGTACGGCCACGCCCCTGATGCTGGGGCACCGAGAGGGGGAGCTACTGTAGGCGCTGGCTCGGGTAGGTCTGACCCGGCTGATTAAGTGTGTGTCCAGAGTTGTGGTTGTAATTGAGCATTTAATTCTGGGACATGACATTTGGAACCACATAAGGATTGTTGATACAAAGAAGAAAAGCCATCAATAAGTTATTGGGTCATGACATCATCAAAACGTTGATAATTTATTAGAATGATAAAATATAATTAAGGCATATGCTTTCATGACAACTGAGCAGCTTGGTCAGCAGAAAACTGGGAGAGAAGTGATGAGTTGTTTTTTACGCCGCATTAACAGTATTTCAGTTATATCACGGTGTGACAGCTTAATGTGAGAGGAAAGCCGGAGGTGATGCAGGTCTCAGACGTTTACCATTTTGGTTTAACCTGCATAGACGGGTATAGTGCTGACAAGGCAAGAAACATAATCAGGGCAAACAGGGATTCGAACCCAGAATCATAGTTTCTGGCATGCCCAAGGAACGCACGCCTTATTTGGTTATTTAGGGTAGTTATCTCAAGGGTAGTTATTTCGTATGGTATTGATCAAACTGTGATAAGGAACAAATACGTTAGTTATAAAGTACGTTGTTGCATATGTTTGGGTCTTAGAAATTTTCTTTATTAACCAAAAAAATGATTCATGCACCCTTGAAAGTCAAGAAACTATCCACGTTTCATATCCATTTAATAACGTATTTCAATCAATCTGAGAACAGCACCCACTCCCGTTAATAAGAAATGAATAAGTGACGTTAGCAATTAACCAAAGCATTTATCCATGAAGTATGCATATAACATGTATGCCACACCCCAATAACGTAAGTATGAAACTGCACAACGGCACATTTTTCACCAGCGTACAAACACAGATTCCAGAGAAATCATTAGCAGTGTTGGCAAATGGCCATCACAGGTAACTGATAAATGGTATCAGATTGCATATATTAACAAATCACCCTGCATCACAACTTGTCCAAAATAATTATGACAACAATATTCCACCAAAAGAGATCATGCTGATAACTGGTCACAATGACATCGATTCTGAGAATAATTCCCATCAAATAAATTCTAATAAGCACAAGCAAATATCCAATGTAAGTTTAGGAAACATCCCATCTCACACAGCACCGACCCGTTTTGATGTTACTGAAACTCCTGTCTTGCATAGCAGCCCATTATTATGTTCAAATCGTCAGTGGACAGAATGAGCCATCTCAATTTATAGTTTCCAGTGGTATCAACTAACGTGCACCAACCGGTCTTTCCTCATCGTCAATAAATTTCAGAGATTGATGTCACCAGTGCCATAACCTACACTAAATGCAACGCCGGGTTCCATGTCTGTCGGAAGTCGGAGGGGAACTTTGTGAACTACAACTACATCCCCATGTGTGCCTACGTCGTTAACTACACTTTCCCCTCTCCCCCTAGCCCTGCCGGTGGTGCTGTAGGGACACGCCCTGCTGCTGCTACTGCTACTGCTACTGCTGCTGCTACTGTTGCTGCAACACCACGCCCTGCTGCGGCTACTGCTGCAACACCACGCCCTGCTGCTGCCATCACAAAAGCACAACCCATGCCGGTATCTCAAGGCTCTCCAACTCCTGCCCCAGCCCCTCCCCAAACCCCACCCCAGGCCCAGCTGCGAGCCCCACACCGAGACCCGCGCCAACCTACTGCTCCTCCCATGGAGCTACCACCGTCATATGATGATGTGCTGAAGATGGACAATCCGGCTACCACCACAGAAATTGCTATCACAGTAAGTGGACATGGGATCAGCAAAGTAACCTTCAACAGCTGCAGATCTGAAGAACTCGAAGCAGTATTTCTGTGTTCTGTGCCCTTTAGGGGCCATGTCTTAAGTGAAAACATGGTTCGTTTCGTTTATATGAATAAGGAACTCGCATCTGTTGAAATGAAATGATTATCCACAGTATAATTGGGTGTGTAGTCTTTTTTTTCGTTTCCTCCAGGAGGCACGGGTGGCCCAGCCGTCTAAGCCGCCTGAATTCGCTGTGCAGAGTTGCGTCCCTTGGACACGCCAGAAACCTATGATTGTGGGTTCGAATCCCGGTTCGCCCCAATTATGTTTCTAGGTTTGTCAGCACCATACCCGTGCTCGTGGGTTTCACCGAAGTGGTAAACGTCTGAGACCTGCATCACTTCGGGCTTTCCTCCCACATTAAGCTGACTCCCACATATAACTAGAATACTGTTAAAAGTGGCGTTAAACCCAACTCACTCACTCACTCACTCACTCACTCGTTTTCTCCAATATTTCTTTAACGTCATACATTTATGGAAACAGTTCAAACATTTTGTCTTTATTTTGTTTCTAGCCGGAGAAGGCAGACAAGCCGTATGGACTGCTTTTCCTTCGGTTCCCGGACACCCGTGTTCAGGAGTTCAGAGACACCATAGTGAGAGAACACCAGAGTCTTGCTGAATGTGAGGGAGAAATCATTGCATTTGCGCCACAGGTGATACAAAGTTTAGTTTCCATGATCCATAAGTCGAATAGAAATTCTATCCATCTTGTTATTATGTAATGCACAGCCGTGTCTCAGCTGTAATGTGCCTTGTTGATAGGGTCAGGATTTAGACCATGGAACAGCTGTAATGTGCCTTGTTGATAGGGTCAGGATTTAGACCATGGAACAGCTGTAATGTGCCTTGTTGATAGGGTCAGGATTTAGACCATGGAACAGCTGTAATGTGCCTTGTTGATAGGGTCAGGATTTAGACCATGGAACAGCTGTAATGTGCCTTGTTGATAGGGTCAGGATTTAGACCATGGAACAGCTGTAATGTGCCTTGTTGATAGGGTCAGGATTTAGACCATGGAACATAACCAACTAAAAGGACAATGTAGATGCAGATCATGTAATCATGTGTTATCAGACATCTTTGAATGATTGGTTTTACGCTGCTTTTAGTAAAGTTCCATCAATATCACGGGAATTGGTCCGGGGCCTTAAGTACAACGAGCGAAGGTTAGAACCACTGGTCCTCTGTAACAGTATTTAACAAAACAACACCTGACTCACATATAGGTCTGATCGGAAATAGACATTGTGAATGATATGTGAGGGTATACGGGCTACATTTGAAACACGATTTTGATTAAAATATGCTCACTACTTTGTTTTACGAAAATGTCCATAAAATTTTCGGTGGGCGTCCTGGATGTCCCAAAATATTGTTTGGTTCATCTTCTCAAGAATACGCAAATCCTCTGGCGCACGCTGGTGAGAGAAATGTCGACAACATGGTGTTTAATAGTGAAAAAGTCCCCGTTGGTCATATCGTTTCATGCAAATTGATAAACTATATTTGTTGTTTCTAACATTGATGATCGCAAAATCCTAAAATAGTGTATGCTTTAAGGTCCTACACGAACCTAACCAATGGCCAGCACGGACGTCTATCGCCATTTTGAAGTTCCTGTCTGCGGAAGTGGCAACTGATTGGTTTAACAAGACGACAGGGGTCGCTGATCCAAAATGGCTGGAAAAATGTGACGCCATTGTTGGAACAATGAATGAACAGTTTAGAGAAGGTGTGGACTTAGGATAAATATTCGTTAGATGAAATTCATCTTAGCTCACCTGAAATTTGAAATGAATGATTGTTTAAGACAACAGGCAAGAATATCATGCTATATCACGGGGTTATAGAATACTAAACGGGCGCCCGTGTAATACGTATTTTTATGAAACGAGTGAATAGTTCTGGTATCTTCACGAGTCTCATAACATTGGTATTATGCGGGGGCGAATTTAGTACATCATCTGTTACTTGCCGTTTATAACTATGTTTTAATTTCACTGTCGTGTGTGAATAGGCAGACATCCACAACATAATCATATTGAGTTTAACAGAATAATACTTCAAACACTTCAAACGTTGATGCTTGACACTATCATTTTAATACCACACAACGGCCCACCTTTAGAATTCAGGGGTCTGCTCCATTAAGCTATCTTAGCGCTATGATTATCATAACTCCCATAATTTAACATAGACTTACGACTGTCGTTGCGCTACGATCGCCTTGTGGAACGGAGCCCTGCACAACAAAGTTTACGATAACGTCACAATACCCTATGACGTTATTTTGTTGCAAGACACACCGGCAAAACAATGCTTTGTGACATCAGCTTTGCAACAGGGTTGCAGGGGTCATCGAGTGTGCATGAACTCCGCTCAGAAATCTATCATCTTTACAGGCAATGTCGATGAATTTTGCAAGGGACGTTGAGAGTTTTCAATATTTGTTTGTGAAACTTGTTCCCACGGTACATAAGCACGTGCTTATTGTTATTAAACAGGTGATACCTTCATAGGCGAGAAATAAAACTGTTATGAACAAAAACCAACCAACCACAAAACTGTATGAAAAGACAGATAACTTCATCTTTCCAAAAGTCAACTTTCTCTTTGGGAGCAATATCCCGCCAGCTCCGTCCTTTCTATGAATATTTCAAAGAGCATTATACGCCTCAGGCTTAAAGATTGTTTCATCAGGGTTACACCATTTAAGGCCTTGGAAAAGCTTTCAGAAAATTTAGTGTGTATTTGTAGGTGAACAATCGACTTGCCCATGCATGTGTTTGTGAAGGGTGCGAACGATGGCTCAGGATAGGTTCATCTTTTCGCGAACATCTGTTATCATATCATAGTGATTCAGATACACCTGATTGTGATATAGTCGGTGTGACTATAGTGTGTACACAGTTAGATCAAAGTGTTCATATATTCCATATATTAGTCCATATATCAATATATAAAAAGGCTGATAACAGCATCTGTTTTTGAGACGTCAACTTGATAATTTAACGAGAGAAAATGCGAAAATAAAGAAAACTGAAAAAAAGTTTTGATTGAGTATCAGTATAATAAAGGCATGTCGCCAAAGGAAATACACGAGTAACCCTTTCCATAAGCATAAGAAGTCTCGATTGTACGATTCTGACTTTTTCATGAGCATGTGTTTATGAATCACTATTGTTGATTGTTAACATGAAATATGTCAATACCATAATCTGGATTTTCCTTGTTGGCAGCCAACCATATCTTTTCAATGATAACATCCACATACAAGCAACCAGTCAAAAAAGCCAAGGTCAACAAGTACGTCAAACTGTACCCGAGGACACTGCGTCCTCTCAGGTGAGATTTGTCACTCACAGTGGTTTAGCTGATGTATCTTCCGTCATGATGCAATGTAATGTCTTTGAATTCAGTCCGAGATCACGTTTAACTACAGTGCTAGACATTTCACCAAATCAGTTTGTTGTAGTATTCAGCGCAAAACAATTCAAATATATTAATATTTTTTAAGTATTGCTTTAAAAGAAAATTCGTATGTGTGTGAGGTGTGTGAGAGAGAGTTCCACATTCCCCTGGTTGTATATATGGCGTATGTAGAGCCCCCTTGTTTATTGGCGTGTGTAGAATCCCCTTGCTGATTGGTGTTTGAAGAATCCCCTTGTTGATTGGTGTATGTTGAATCCCCTTGTTGATTGGTGTATATGTAAAATCCCCTTGTTGATTGGCGTATGTTGAATCTCATCGTTGATTTGTGTTTGAAGAATCCCCTTGTTGATTGGTGTATGTTGAATCTCATTGTTGATTGGTGTTTGAAGAATCCCCCTGTTGATTGGAGTTTGAAGAATCCCCTTGTTGATTGGTGTATGTAAAATCCCCTTGTTGATTGGTGTATGTAGAATCTTTTTGTTGATTCGCATATGTAGAATCCCATTCTTCTTATTTTTCTGGTGAATTTGTATCCACATGCGATAAATCTTTCCATGATACATACAAACATTTTAGGTACTGTCCATTTTCAAATCATCACCCCTCTCCCGACTTTTCTTCTATAGTGGAAAAAATAGTGTGACAACAAGTTCCTTTTGTTTTGTCTGACAGCGTCCAAGAAGAAACTTATATGAGGCCATCACTTTATGCATGTAAATCTTTTGTGCCCAAAAGCTTATAATTTGACCAGAACATATCACGACACATTTAATTGAGCTATTCATTACATACTTCCTTTAACTATCTCCTGCTGTGTGCTGAATAACAGACTATTGAAGACTGGGGTGAATCTGTTGGCGACTTCGAAGTACACCACACTGCGGGGCAGCTGGTTGGAAGACAAGTGTAGCCTCTCGGTCACACAGTGGGAAACTATAGATCTTTACTTCGAATACAGAAGCGAAAAGAAATGTGGTAAGCATGTTTGTGATTAACCTTCGGAAGTTTGGGGTTTCAGAGTTACGATACTCGTAATAAGTAGTCATCTGAAATGGGACTTTTTTAAACATTTGCCAGAATCCCCTTGTTAATTGCCGTATGTAGAATCCCGTTCTGCATTTGATTTTTCCCATGTCTACTTGCAAAAGTTAGGATCTTTGTTCGAACCAGTATAATTTTGCGGTCACTTGCTCAAGATATGTCCAAGTCAAATCAAGTAAAACCATTATTTGTTTGTTTGTTTGTTTGATAGTTTCACAACTATTTTTTTCAGGACATCCAGCATGTCAAGGTTTTTCTACAACCTTAGGCAAAAATATATTTTTCAAGTATTTTTCTCAATCAAATTACCCCCTACCCCCATTGATATCTTATGGTTGGTCGCTTAGCTGTTGTTTATCGGTGTCTTCAGTCTTAAATATTGCCACGCTTGCTTGATGTTATATGGGAACCGTCACACGTTATTTAGCAACGTTCATAAAACGAATTCCGTATTTGTAATTTATTTCTATCATGGTCTAACGTAGCCCTAAAAATCATAATGCAGGGTTAAAATATACCATGGTAGAATACCAGTTACTGTTGCACGTTGTCTTGTGCAATCCCTAGACTTATTAGTTGTTTCATCTCTGGAAAGAAGGGATGTTTTAGGACTGGAAGTATAATGTTATGATTGTTTGGGCATCGAGGAGACGGCAGTAAAGGGACGGGCTTCTGTTTTTGCAATTATACATTAAAGCGACAAAAGTACTTGGATGTTCTTGTACACACTTGTAGTTATCAAAAGTGCTCCTGATTCATCGTAGGTGTGTACTCCCACATCAGTAAAACTATTGCATTTTGTTCACAGGTGTATGTAAAGAATGCCATGATTTGCTCCAAGAAATAGTTGACGCACGACCTAGTATTATCTTCCAATCCGAGGATTTGTCTCTCTTTCAAATGACATCCATACTAACGGCCGAGAGATCTGACAGCCCGGCCGTCGAGATGCAGTCAGAGACTACACAAACTCAAAGCGAGTCTCCAGGGGATGGGACCGAGGATTCAGGGGAAGGACAGACAGACCTCACAAGATGTGACAGTCCAGCCATCGAAGTGCAATCGGCGAATATCGATAGTGCCGCTACCCAAAACCAAAGCGAGGCATCAGCTGATGGGAATGAGGCTGGAGAGGAACGTCAGGAAGAAACTGCTGACATAAAAACCACAATAGCTGACTTACAATAAAGTCTTTGTAGACTTGCTGCAAGACCTCCAAGTGTTTAATTTTCCCACGGTTTTTTAATCTACATTTACACCCGACATTGGTACGGAAGGTTGTGGAGTCTTCGTGTTACAACTTCAGTTGATGTATGTTCACGTGAAGACTTGCTTCTTGACGTATTCAAACACATGTATGGTCATGTTGATTTGATAGTTGTTCTCCTGTTTCTTGTCAGCAGCACATGTTCAACTTTAGGTTGATTATCGCTAACTAAGTTCATGCAATTATTGATATTGCTTAATGTATTTAATATGATGTGCAATACCGTGTGAAACAGATACCTCTTTGTGATACCCGTTCACATACCGATTGAACGAAATCAGCGAGTGGCAGGAGCTGGCGGCAGGTTTCTGACATATACCCAATGAGTGTGACTTTGATCAGTGATTATTGCCACTGTGAACTGTAACTAGTGCTACTGTGATAATAGCTTAATGTGACTGTCAGCAGAGATTAGTGTTATTGAAGCTAGGATATTACTGCGATTGTGATCAGATCAGATATTAGATCACCAACGAACGTTTGTAGATGACAACATGCAAGATGTGCCAACATGTCGCTACCCAATATCTGGAAACGAATATTATTATGTCTCACAGTTTGAATTATTTAAGAATTCCATTTATCCCGCGATATGCCAAGGAGAGGCACGGGCCACCGAGCCGTGGATGCCCGTGCCTATAATAAAAACAGAAGATGAGATTGGGTTAAATGGCCGAGGGTGTGCAGGTACTAGTGGGCTACTAAGCTGCTAATTGTGTATACCAAAATGCTACCGTTGCCATGGCCACTAGCGTGGCCAACTGCGATTTGCAGCTAGCACTGCTGGCCTGAGACTGCTACCACTGTCCGGCCCCAACGGTAGCATATTTAAACGCTACCATTGCTTGGCAACTACCACGCTGCCAAAAGCAGCTACCGCTGCTGGCCTAAGTCAGACTACCGCTGCCATGCCCAAGGTAGCCGGCCAAAGCAGATCCCACTGCCTGGCCCCATTAGCAAAACCATTGTGCGACTACCGCCGCGGACCCAACTGTCAGCTACTGCTTGACAAGACGACTTCCGCCGCCGGGCCCATATACGTGGCAATTGTTTGCCCCAACGTATGTTATTTTACGATTCCACGGCTGAAAAGTCGGGAAAGACAAGGTCCCCACCGAGAAGCAGGTAACCCCGGAAAGGTTCCCGCTGAAAAGCAGGTAGCCTTAAGCACGAGTATTAATTTGGAAGCAAGTTAATTTGTTACTAGCAGTGTAGCCGAAAAGAACCCCGCCACAAAGCACCAGAGTGCTACCCAAATGTGATGTGCAATACCGTGTTAAACAGATACCTCTTTGTGATACCCGTTCACATACCGATTGAACGAAATCAGCGAGTGGCAGGAGCTGGCGGCAGGTTTCTGACATATACCCAATGAGTGTGACTTTGATCAGTGATTATTGCCACTGTGAACTGTAACTAGTGCTACTGTGATAATAGCTTAATGTGACTGTCAGCAGAGATTAGTGTTATTGAAGCTAGGATATTACTGCGATTGTGATCAGATCAGATATTAGATCACCAACGAACGTTTGTAGATGACAACATGCAAGATGTGCCAACATGTTGCTACCCGATATTTCGGAAACGAATATTATTACGTCTCACAGTTTGAATTATTTAAGAATTCCATGTATTGTTTTCATTTAGTTGGTTGGTTGGTTGTTTTATGCCACACTCAGCAATATTCTAGCTATATGAGGGCGGTCTTTAAACAATTGGGTCTGGACCAGACAATCCAGTGATATCATCAATTGGGATCGATGACATGCTTTAGCGAGCCTGACCACCCGATCCCGTTAGTCGCCTCTTACGACAAGCATAGTCACCTTTTAGGGCAAGCATGGGTTGCTGAAGACCAATTCTACCCCAGACCCTTCACGTGTCTGTTTTTATATGACCCGTATTCGTCCCTGGCCACGATAAAGGAGCTGATTGATGATTCTTTGCTTATTCCTGTTTGTAATAAAAATATATAGATATATTAGCTGATTTGTTATTGGTAGACATGAAAGCACACATTGGTAAAACAGCCCAGTCCTACAAGTCTCCATCTAATGGGGCAAAGTATTTTATTGACACAATCATGGCATCCAATGCACTGTCTTTGAGATATCCATACAAGCTTGTCCGATACAGTGTCTACCTGATAAAGTGAATGACAAAAGTGTATGAATATTTTCACGAGTGGCGCATGAAACTAATGAAAGGTGGTAAAGTGATCAACTTTAAGTTAAATTAAAGATTGAGAGAAATTACTGTAATTGAATAAGTAGTTATATCAGGGCACACGTCACAAGAGGAAATACACGAAGACATGAAGATATAGGCTGCAAAACTCTATAAATAATCAAAAGAAATCTTTGCTGAAAGCAGAGTTCTTTGTATGATTCAAAACAATATCATAAGCATGTGTTTTTGAATCACTATCAAATAATGATGATAACTGTTCTACGCGAAAAGGCGTACGTATCCTGCCCCATCGGGAATGGCAAGTCAATTTTCACTGGAAAATATGGTATAAGTCAAAATAAAGACTTGCATAGGAAGGATTCATTTGATGCGTAAAATGTGGAAATGCCCTTCACGTGTCTACCATTAAATCTTTTGAAGCCTTTAAACAAGGTCCTGAATATTGTAACCCTGACAAAGTTGAGCAAGAGTCGTATGATGCTCTTTGAAATTTTCGTAGAGAGAGCATAATCCAGTGTGCCTCACAGGTTATGAAATATAGACCTTAAAGGCTATGAAAGGTGGACTAAAAAGGCTGGAACTGCTGCAATATGTATAGGATAAAACACGTCCATGGGTTTTTATGATATAGCCTGGAAGGTAATTTAAGGTACCGACGTTAACTACAATATCTGAAAAACTATCGGACCTACTCCAGTCAAAGCTGGTATGAGATTATTAAACAGTCATACATAACTGGATATTACATTTGAAGACAATCGGCGCATGAATAAAAAATCTGTCTATTGAGTTATCACTATATTTCATCAACAACCAGACCTGTTCGTCACGGGTGGAACGAGCATTCATTGAAACAGCCATCTGCATAATGCTACCCCTGCGTCACAGGGCCATATGACACAGTTGAACCAATCAACTCAACTTGAAAGGTTGCACAGGAATTACGCACGCACGAATACGTGCGTGGTTCCCGTGCACCCTTTCGAGTTGAGTTGAGCATTTGCAGCATTTTAGCATTTTGGTAGACATATCTTACGCTCTGAGTTAAAATATGAACACACAAAAATGTAATGATACAATATCGGATAGATGAAAAATAGTATGTTTGCACTCTGGTGGGGGTAATTTATTCCATCTTCTGGCTTCAATTGGTGAGCAGTGGCAGGAATTCCAATAAAAGAGCAAGTGTAAAGCCAAGTGTAGAGCGAGTTTAATGAGCTAGCTTACAAATTTGAGTTTGCTTTTTTAACAAATGGTAAGCACCACCTTTTGAGGAATTCGAAATATCTGCTTCCCAATATTGCCGATAGATGTCATTTAGATATGGAGATACCCCATGCTTTAACCAGGTCAAATTCTGTGTAAGACACACATAAGATAATCAAGAATTATTTTAAATGGTCTGTATACATGATTAAATTCAAATGATTAGAATTAACAATTGCACCTTTGCAGATAAGAGAGTAAAGAATAGAGGACAATTTTGTGGTTTTGACAGAAATTCACTCCCCGAAAAGCTAATCATTCTTGTTTTAATCGAAATATATGGTTCAAACACATTTTTATTTCAAAAGAAATATTGATCGGAAAACAAGCAAAACTTGCTTATGTAAATACCCCTCCAAGTAATAACTTGACAATAGCTGGTTATATAAGATAGAGCTGAACATAAATGCACAAATGAAATACATGGAGCCAACATATTGAGTCGGTGGTGTCTATGAAATTTAATAATCAACGTTTCCTTTCTTTCTTTTTGCATAAAATTATATTCACTCATATATTTTGCTTTTGACAATGAAGTCACAGATTTGACATGGAATGAGACCGTTGAGATAATTGACCGAAATGGCTTTCCTTTAAAGATTGAAAATTTGTTTCGTTATAAATTTTAGAATGATTGGTACCACGAACTGCCCCACAAATACGTCCAAATGTAAATTCGCGAGTATCAATGGTTGTTCGTTTGTACAATTGTCTTAAATATGAGAACAGTCATAGTTCTGGTTTATCTCTTCTTAAAACTCCTTAAGCAGTTGATCATTGGACTAACTAATTTCGTTGATTTTTATTTTCCATGAACAATCACTTTGAAGTGTAATTCCCAAATGTTTATGACTTTGTACGTTTGTACATTAATAAGAATTCTCTCTATGTATAAATTCGGTCTGACATCGGAGTCGACTTTGCGACTGAATGTAATAGTTTTGGTCTCATTGGGGTTGAATCATACTCATTTCCAAACTGACGGAAATGTTTTGTTTTTAAGGGATAAGTTAAATAACTTAGTCAGGATTGGAGCTAGACAAGTCGCTAATAATTTAAGTTACATGTTACCTATACCATATGGCCCTGTTGTCTAATTCGTATCTACAGAAAGAAGAATATCACAAACTTCTTCTAGTTTTAAATTCCCAGATAGTAAATGATCATCGATTTTGCATGGTCCAATAAAAGAAAGATCAGAATCGGGGTTTTGTACTTTTAATTGATCGACGAAGAATCCATTTAGGACATTGGCAATATCTTTCATATCATCATATAAAATGTCATTTGAATCAATTGCTGGAAACAACGATTTTCGGTTTGCCTTTTGACATTAATCTTAACTAATTGCCACAAGATTTTATACCATGTGGTTTGCAGAATGTGGGGGAGAAATCATAGCATTTGCGCCAAAGGTGAAACAAAGTTTAGTTTTCATAATCCATAAGTCGAATAGAAATTCATTTTCCTTCTTGAAATTATGTGATGCGACAAAGGTGTTGATAGGGTCAGGATTTAGATCATGGTACACTTCCACCAATGAACAATGGGGATAAAACGGTGTGTTGAACAAGACGGATAACACGGTTACTGTACAGGTCATGTTATCATGTGTTATTAGTCATCTGTGAGTGATTGGTTTTTCGTGGTTTAAGTAATGTTTCATCATTATCGCGGCCTTAGTAGATGGTCCCTAATGCTGCAAGAGTATGATTTTGAGATCATACACAGGCCAGGCAAAGCAAACATAAATGCAGATGCCTTATCTCGCATTCCTCATGCAGAGCAAGTACATCAACCTAACACTGATGATATACCCTCCCAATCCATTTCAACAGAACCCATCTCATCAACCCGCACATATGCACAAGTAGCTGCCACTGCTTCATCTCCACTCTTACCCACTCCAACTTCACATTCAACATCACCATCAAGCAGCCCCAAAGTGTCCTCATTTCCTCATCACCCAGGCAATATGAGGCCAACTCCATCGACTGCCTCCACTCGCCCATATGCCAATTCTTATGCAGGCAACATGAGGCCTACTCCCTTTTGTCTTTTGAGGATAAAAGCTCCACGACAGACAGGGGTATTATTACAGTGCATATATTTCATTATACTTTATATATTTTTCACAAATTTAACTTAACCAAGGAAATTCTAAAATTCGAAAGTCGCTAGACCAGTATTTCTCGTTTTTATCGCCACTCGTCGGCCATGACGGCTGCCCTTGGTGGGGCTCATTCATGCGAACAGTAAGTTATGTAATCATAGATAAAGTCGGCGGATACGTCCTCCCCGGCCCTTGTTCTCTTGATAAATGTTTTGTTACCAGCTGGTGCAGGTTTTGACCATCATCTAAAACTGTAATTAAAATCAACACTTGTTAGGCAATACTGAATCTGTTCTATTACCACCTGTTTTGTGTAGTTAACTGTGACAGCCTATGGCAGATAACATAGACGGAAATTACATCAAAGTAATTGTTAATGTGATACGAGTAGAGCTGTGGGGGTATATAACTCCTTGGATGTTGGTGCTCGGCACACTTGCTTGGATAAACCCTAAGGACCTCACAG